GCAGCCAGGGCACATAAGTACCAACCGCTGTTTCGCGGGGATTCGACAGCGTCTAACGTCCAGCTGGCAGACTTGGCGCTGGGAAACTGGTTGCCAGCGTTTCGGCCTGGTGCGTGATAGCCATCGAGTTTGCCCCAATCAGTTGTCAATTTGTAATTGGGATCATCGGTTTTATCTTCCCAGAAAAGTTTCCCCTCTGCTGGTGAGACGCGATACCCGGGGGCACTGATACGTCCCGCCCAGGCTATGGAGAGTGTCGCATATCCTCGCTTTGCATTCGCCAGACAAGCTTTGTAGTCCGCATATTGACCACCCCCATGGATTTGCAACAGCCCGGGAACCTTGGCGTGACTCTCCAATAATGATTTAGGAAAACCATAAACAGCTGCGAGTCGCGCTGTTTCACCTCGAAAGACACCAATTCGAAAGCGGACCACGCGCAGCAGAACTCCATCTTCTTCCCACTGAAGAAGCTGCTCGACTTCAAGCGCCTCATCCCGCGGATCGAAGCCAGCCCACATCTCTGCAAAGTTCTGCGGTGCCTTTCCTGAAGCCAAGGGAGGCAGCGTTTCATCAGCGAAGGAATCACTGAAGACCCCGATGATGAATAGTAAAACAAAGTAGCAGGTAGGCTGATTCATCAGTGTGGCATTCATTTTGTAACAAAAGTAGTTCTCAAGTGGATGACGACACTTACGATAATGCTTGCAGGATGATGTGGAAACTGTCTCATGAACAACCCAAAAATAAACGAAGAGAAAGAGGTTGCCAGTGGCAAGTGCAGTGTCACAGCTTGAAATAAAGGCGGTGTTCGACGTAACCCGCTCTCGTTGTCGCTACTTGGTAATTTATCAACCCTAAAATTGAGGTGTGACAGACCACTGGGCGCATGTAAAAACCGTGCAAGTCTGTTGTAAACTTGCACGGTTTACGAATTCAATCTCTAAGAACGAGAACTCTGGTTAGAATTCTCCGACAACTTGTCCATCTCCGATTGAACCAAGCAGGTTGAATGTTCCAAAATCGATGTTTTCACTCAGGAATCTAGTAGAACCATCAGCTAACAGAACTTGCGTTCCCCCAACGTGGAAGCTGGCCATGTTTTCCCAGCGGCAGTTGCCACAGGTTCCTTCATTTTCAACGGCACCACATTCTCCAGCATAACGATGGAAACCATTGATCGGCATGTTCGTACCAGTCGAAATCTCCCAACGCATCCCCCGCCAATCCCGGATGTTTGTTAATTGATTCCGACAACGGGGAGCGTAACCACGCACCTCTCCAATCGCAATCGTGTTGGTCGTCCCATCAGTGATGTCTTTCATTGAGGTGCTAGAGTTGTAATACATTACTCCACGATTGACCAGACCATTGTTCGGCTGGTCAGCCGCCCAGCGATGTCGAGCACGACCACCAGGAGGTTCCCCTGTTCCCCACCCCACTGCAAAATAATGTATGACTTGAAAGAGGTTACTGTGCTTGTTGTTGACTCCGACCGGATTGGAAGGACACAAGAGCGTTGCATAATTATTGCCTAGAGCGTCGCGGTTGCCTACAGGATTGCCACCGGAATTTTGAGTCGCATCGTACCGCAAACTGAAATCAATCGTATTGTACACAGTGGCCTGATCATAATAGGGCATTAGGAACAACACCCACGTTCCGGCTGAGTTACCCCAATCATTATTTCCTGATGTCAGAAAAGCATTCGTATGAATTTCTGAGGGAGGGAATTTACCATAAGTGTCATGGTAATTGTGCAATGCCAGTCCCAACTGCTTCAAATTGTTCTTACATTGGGTCCGTCGTGCTGCCTCGCGAGCTTGCTGCACCGCTGGCAACAGCAACGCGATCAAGATCGCAATGATCGCGATCACAACGAGCAACTCAATTAGAGTAAACCCGTTGCGGATCCACCTCATGCGTTGTTTCATGTCGTTTCTCCTCATCCCTTTGAACAAACAATAATGAAAAATATATCTAACTCGACTATTCAGCCTGATGTTGCCTGTAGCAGTAGATCATTGACTCCACCAGCAGGGACTTCTGCACTGAGTGGTGTCGAACTAACACTCTCGAACTTAATATCAACGGTGCAATCGCCTTCTTTCTTTTCTGGAGCAGGAGGGGGTTCAGAGCCATCTGCTGAAGAGCCAAAGCCATCTGCTGTTGATGTAGCATTTGCACGCCCCTCCAACCGCCAAGGGCACTTGACCAGCACTTTATGTGTCCCGATGACAGCTCCTGCGCGCCCAGTGGAGGTCGATAACATGAAGGTTCCATCGTCAGCCGTGACCGCGACTGACATTGGCCCCGATGTTCCCGCGTTATTATCCGGAAGAAATTCAACCGTTAAGCCACCTGCCGGTTTCCCATCAAGCATGACTGTTCCGGAAACGGAAGCCAAATCAGGTGCATCACCCGCACCTCCCCCACATCCGGAGACCAAAAAAAGCGAAAATCCTAGTACTGAAAAAGCAAGAATCGATTTGTGCATCGGGTATCGGAAGATTACTTGAGAAAAATAAATTGTGAAAGAATTGTAAAAATTGATGATAAAATTCATATCGACAAACTGCAATGCTTTCCCAAACCGATTTCATGGCTTTTACTGATGTATTCGAGACGACTATCAGGACAGCCTAATCCAACGTTTCATGTCCTTACACCAGTTGAGCCTCAGCTTCGAACCCTAAAGGAAAAAACTGCGAACCGGACTCTTCAACATTGTTATTAAACCCAAATCAGCAAGAATATTTGAAGTTCGCTTTATATTGCATGCTGAGCCCTTCAATTCTGCTACCTTCATATGACATACCTTTGGCTGTATTGCAAGAGTTTATGTTTGCGGGAAAAAGACCTCAGTCAATGAATTGAAATTTGCGGGATCGTCACAGCCTGGATTGGGCTGCCTCCGCAGCAGGCGCTGACAGAAGCACTTTCAATGTTTTGTCGCAGCGATCTTTTCTTCAATGAATTGAAGATGATGAGGGATGTGATTTGTGATTCTTTGTAGTAAGACCTTCAAACTCATCGGTCCATCGAGTGAATGTTGCCCGCTGCGCTCAAAGTCCTCCTCATTCAGCGAACGCAGGATCGGCGTCATGTGTTTTCGGATCGCCTCAATCACGTTCAGTTCGTCTACGACCCTCCGCTTTTCAAAGTGCAGTGCTTTGCGAAATTGTTCGGGATCAGCTTCTAAAAACGTTGGGTTCTCTTCTGCGAGGACCCGTTTCATACGCTCAGCGTAGATAACTTCAGCATCAGCAAGATGGCAGACAACTTCACGGATAGACCATTTTCCCGCGATCGGTCGCGCGTCTAATTGCGTATCGTCCAGACCTTGCAGCGAAGCCCTAAGCAACAAAGCATCCTTGGAGTATGTGTCAATTATTGACTCGATGTCAGGTATACGATTTCTTGTTTTCGCCATCATTGATATCCACAGCTTGTCATCCAGGATAATGAGTCTGGCCCCAATTTTTTTAGCAAGCCGTTGGGACACATGAATAGAATAATTTAGATGGACACGTGCAGCTAAGCCAGGAGCTCCTGGATGACGCGTGTCTCCTCCACACCGGTGAGACGTTGATCCAGTCCCTGGAAAGGGTAGCTAAAGCGACGATCATCGATGCCCAGGCAATGCAAAATAGTCGCATTGAGGTCGTTCAGATGTACCGGGTTTTCAGCGACGTTATAGCTGAAGTCATCGGTTTCGCCGTACGTGATGCCGCTTTTAATTCCACCACCAGCCATCCACATACAGAAATTTCGTGGATGATGGTCGCGACCATAGTTGTCCTTCTTCAGCGTGCCCTGAGAGTAAACTGTTCGCCCGAATTCACCGCCGAAGACGACCAGAGTGTTCTCCAATAATCCTCGCTGCTTGAGGTCTTTCAACAAGGCTGCCGTCGGTTGATCGACATCGTTACATTGACCTTTGATCAGTTTTGGCAAATTATTGTGCTGATCCCACCCCCGGTGCAGGACTTGAACCACGCGTACGCCCCGTTCGATCAGACGTCGAGCGAGGATTGCACTGGATGCGTATGTTCCAGGTGTTTGTACGTTGGGGCCATACATCTCCAGTGTCTCCTTCGATTCTCCACTCAAGTCAGTCAGTTCGGGAACAGAAGACTGCATTCGGAATGCCATTTCGTACTGACTGATCCGTGTGAGCGTTTCAGGGTCGCCAAAGCGTTCGTAGTTTCGCTGATTGAGTTCACCGAGGGCATCCAACATTGTCCGTCGATCAGATTGAAGCACACCTGGGGGATTGCGAACATAGAGCACAGGATCGCCCGTACCGCGCAGGGCCACACCATCATACTTGGAAGGTAGAAAACCGCTGCTCCACATGCGTGTGAACAATGCCTGGGCTTGACTGGCTTTGGGAAAAACAGGAGTAAAGACAACGAACGCTGGCAGGTCATTGCTTTCGCTGCCGAGACCGTAGCTTAACCACGAACCAAGACTTGGCTTGCCCGGAATTTCGCTACCGGTCATGACGAAGGTACACGCTGGATCGTGGTTGATCGCATCAGTATGCACCGTCTTGATCATGGCGATCTCATCGGCAATCTCGTGCATGTGCGGAACGAGTTCACTCATCCAGATCCCTCCTTCTCCACACTGCTTGAACTGAAACATACTGGGCGCGACCGGCAGACGTGACTGACCACTGGTCATCGTGGTGATCCGCTGATTGTTGCGCACCGATTCCGGCAGATCTTTATCGAACTGTTCTGCAAGATTTGGTTTATAGTCAAACAGGTCGAGTTGCGATGGAGCTCCATTCATATGCAGATAGATGAGACGGGTTGCCTTCGGAGGAAAATGGGGAAGTCCCGGCAGCGCCGGATGCACAGCACTGTTGTCCGCAGCGGCTGCGAACTGGTTCCCCATCAGTCCAGCCAAAGCCATTCCGCCGACCTTCAGACCTGCTCCATGAAAGAATTGGCGGCGTGTCTGGAGTTGTTGAGCTTCAAGAATCGGGTGCATCAGTTTTTGCTCACTGTTTCGTCGAGATTCAGAATCATATTGGCAATCAGTGTGTACGCAGCTAGTTCTGTCGCTGCGAGGTTTGGATCGGCAGTACTCTCTCCATATGCGATCAGTTGAACTGCACTCTCTTGGTCTGCTTGATAACGAGCACGGTAGAGCTCGAGAGTGCGAACAACAATCGTAAGTTCTGCATCATCCGGGGGACGACTTGTAACTGTTCGCCACGCCCACCGGAGCCGTTGCTCATCGGAGGCTCCCCCTTCTTTGAGAATACGCGATGCAAACTCCCGTGCCGCTTCGACATGCTGGATATCGTTCATCAATTGCAGGGCTTGTAAGGGAGTATTGCTGCGGCCACGCCGGGCACAACTTTGCTCACGATTCGGAGCATCAAAGCTGGCCAGGAATGGTGGGGGCGCCGTCCTCTTTAGAAAGGTATACAGGCTGCGACGGTAGAGCCCATCACCAGAGTCCTGCTTGTAATAACGTGTATTACTACTGCCGAAGCCGACAGGCTCCCAGATATTCGGTGGCTGATACGGCTTCACTCCTTTCCCGCCAACCGTGGGTACCAGCAGGCCGCTGACGAACAGAGCTTGATCGCGA